ATACAGTATATATAAAATTTATTTATATATATTTAGTGCATTCATCTCATGACAGCTGGGTAACTTTCAAGCCGAGAAAATGAAGCTTGAAACTTTCAATAATTGATTTTGATCAAAAGGGCAACAGAGGATCAACTTTAATGAGCTTTTTCTGTATTCCTTTCTTACTTTAACGTCAAATAAACAGGGTTTTGTTTTTAAACTGATTTGCTAAAGTGAGATGAGATGTATCGTTAAGAAATAAATGAATAAGTTGTTGGTAGAAAGTAACGCATAAAAAAGGATTTCTTTAAAAATTAAATTTTCTTCATCCATTATGCTCTAACAGCTAAATATAAGATCATTTGGAAAAGGTTGTATTTCTATAAGAATAATTAGTTATATTTTTCAATAAGCATGGACAGAAATTAGCTTAGATGTTGAATTTTGTCAGCGCTGCATCGCAGAGTTTGACCCTGATTTATTCTGACTTCAGCCCTGCTTTGTCCTTATCTGCAGTTTGTATTAGTTTACCCCCTCAGGGATCATTAAACTTTCATCGTCTCCTCAGAGTCCTTCAGATCCTCTTTAGTGGACTTGTGTTCTGAAGTGGCGTCTCCTCTTCCTCCTCCTGCGGTTAGATTACGCGGTGATGCGAGGTACGGGGACCTCGGGGAACGTGGAGTACCGCTGCTGGCCGTCCTACAGCCAGCAGGGCTGCGTGCTGTCGGTCCACGACGCCAGAGAGGCCGCGTACATCTGCAGCTCCCACTCCCAGTGCAGCAGCTTCACCCTGACGGGCCAGAAGACGTGGACCGGTTCGTTTAAAAAAAAAAAAAAAAAAAGAAAAGCACCTCTTTGATCGTGTGACTCAAACTCATTAGCTGCTGAAAAGTAAACCTTTAAATCTTGTATAAGCCCGTTTTTAAAGTTGACATGTACACACTTGGTCGAGCAGCAACATGTTGCCTCGCTGATAGTTTTTTTTTTCTGTGCTCCGCAGGCCGCCTCCTCGCCTCGTTCCGGAGCGGCTTTGATCACCTGGTGCCTGACGGGACGTCGGAGGTGTACGTGAGGAGAACCAAAGCTCCCGGAGCTCCGTCGCCGTGACGCGTGGAGGAAACCGACAGGAAGGGGAAGGACTGGAGTCTCGCTCTGTGAAAACACGCTGTGACCGCAGCTCGGCTTTTTTTTACGGGCGAGGAGCAGATGTTGGAAGCGAGCATGTGAGCGCGTCGTGTTTATAAGGCCTCCGCTCGGCGACCGTTTGATCCTCCTGCCAGCTCGCTGCCTCTGCCAGCTACTATTTAAAGGGATTTCCCTTTCAGGTACAATTAAGGAGGAGGAGAGCCTTGTTGCCTTCAACATTTTCTTCTCACACACACACTTAAGTGATTCACCTTTATTTGCCGTGTGTGTTGGCTTACAGTCCTCACAGTCAGATTTCTTTAAAGYGATCCATGATTAGTTGTAACATTAGACTTTATTTAATAAACATATACTTTAACTGTAAAATAAAGACTGTAAAAATACTGTAGGATTTTCAGTTTTTATCATTTTTGAACTAAAAGTTTAAAAATATTTTACACGGACGGGGCCATTTTATTTACACTCAAAGCATTCTGGGTAAATGATGACGTGGATAGGTCCTCGGTGTGAGCGAGCTATATCCACCCTGAAGGTTAATCTTGGACAATATCTGACGATTGTCTCTTTTGAATGAAACCAGAGAGCYCTGACAAAGAGGAGAAGGTAGAAATGACTCAGTCTGTAACTGAAAATATAGATGGAGGACAACAGTGCTGCTTCATGGAAGAAGAACCTCAGCTTAGCCTGTTAGCTTTAGCGTTAGCCCCGATGCTATCACCATATATATGTATTAGCTCAGCGCTACACATTCTCCTCTCGTCACTGAGGTCCTCCATCCACATGACAGAGAGGAGAACACAAAAATGACTCAGCCTGCAACTGAAAATATGGATGGAGGACCTCAGTTTAGCTTGTTTGTCGTGCTAGCACAGAGCTAATACATATAAGYCAATATAGCGTCTGGGCTAACGCTAAAGCTAACAGGCTAAGCTGAGGTTCTTCTTCCATGAAGCAGCTCTGTTGTCCTCCAGTTACAGGCTGAGTCATTTCTACCTTCTCCTCTCTGTCAACGCTCTCTGGTTTCATTTAAAAGTGTCAATCGTCAGATATTGTCCAAGATTAACCTTCAGGACGGATATAGCTCGCTCACACCGAGGACCTATCCACGTCATCATTTACCCAGAATGCTTTGCGTGTAAATAAAATGCCTCCATCCGTGTTAAAATATATTTTTAAAAATTATAAAAACTAAACAGCCTACAGTATTTATACAGTCTTTATTTTACAGTTAAAATATATGTTTATCAAAAAATAAAGTCTAATGTTACAACTAATCAGGGATCCCTTTAAAACCCAGAGGAGCAGCTGCCGCAGCTCAAACCTCCGGAGGACGAGAACACTTAAATGTGCCGAGGTCGGCGCTGTGTGTGTGTGTGTGTGTGTGTTCGTGGTTGTCTGGCGTCGCTGCCAGAGGTCAACAAACACAACAGCAGAAGGGCTGTGGCGATTCAAACCATTCCAGTTGTTTTGTTTCTAAAGTTGCGTTCCTGAATATTTATACGATAAATATGTGAAATGTAATTGTTCTTACATTGTTCTGCTTTACGTGCACCTTGTGGGTGAATCATTTCTGTTTTGTTTTTCATTGAAAACATTTTTCACTTCTTTTTTCTACTTCACTTGTATCATTTGTGCTTAAATAAATGCAAAGTTTCCACATTTTCTTTTTTTTTTTTTTACGGTTTGCATTTTCATTGTTTGAAGCGTAACGGCAGCTAACAGCCTGATTATTTCTCATTAGCACCTTTGTGTGTGTTTCAGTGGGGGGTGGAGGGCTTCTTGCACGAGCATGCTGTGTGTTTGTGTGTTTAGTCCTTTTATCTGCTCTCGCACACACCCGCATCTTCGAATCTGCGGCCCGAACGAACTGCTGAAATTGCGAAACCCGCGGATCTCAAGCAGAGTTTGCACAATAACAGAGGAATGCATTCAAATGGCCGCCATCATGCTGAGGTCATTATGAGGCTTAATTAATACATGTAAAGCAGCTTAACAGGCCTTTTTCTCAAGACGGGGGATCAGGGGGTGCTGGTGTAAGACAAAAGCAAACATCGGGACATTCAGAGTTGGAGAGGTTTGCTCACAAATGACCATCTGTGCCTGGAGGAACAGAGAGCAGCATTACTGTGAAGGTTTAGGTACAAAAGGTGCCAAACTCCATATTTTTTTGTTCTTTCTTTCACCACTCAGCTGTTCACCTTTCTGACTTGAAAGGGCATGTTTCTGTCTAAAAATTAGTTTTATGGCCGTGCAGCAGGGAGGCCTCAGGGGCCCTCTCTTCTTGCCTGATGCTGGCCCCTTGTCTAGACAAAGCCGACTGATTAGAGTCTAGATTTTTTTTTTCACAGATAAAAAAAAAAATCCTTCTTGASATTAGATAAAACAAAGTCACGGTCTCGACACGACCAGATTAACTGGAGAAACCTGAGTTGAAATGAAAAGTCTCGTGACCTAAAAWAAAAAGATGGATAGAAAAGCTGCTGCCTTGTGAAGATTAAGCTATTGTTTGAAGACGAGCTGCTTTCTTTAACAGCAGCTTAGCTAAAACAAAAGACTTTCTTGTAATAAAGTTTWAAAAATGTTGGCAATGTGTAAAGTTTTTAGTTAGGAGTTAAATTATACCAGATTTAAACAGGTTTACACGACTGAAAAGAACAGCTTAGAACATTTGCTAAGCTAATTTAGATATTGGTGTTAGTAAGAACTGTTGATAAAAAAAACACTGCCAAGAAAAAAAAATTGGTGACACCCTTAAAGAAATACTACCGAGAATTTTTTATTTGTTTTTGTGTCAATTAAGTTAAAAATACTTAGCCAATCAGATAGTTCATTAACAACCCAGCTAACAGTTAGATGGTTAAAAGAATATTGGAAATAAAGCATGAATAACTTATTCAACTCTACAAATAATTTGTCTTAAATAGTGATTTTCAAATTTAGCTAGCTAGCTCACTAGCTAAGCTAATTAGGTAGGATAGCCATGGTGGGTGGTTCTAAAAATGACTTAAAATGCTGCTAAGAAATCATTTAAAGGCATGTTAGTCTTAAAAAATACTACTTAGAGAACTTTCTTTTGTTTTGTATAATTTAGCTGCATTAGTATAACTAATTAGTAATTTTTAAATTTAACTAGCCCACTAGCTAGGTAAGAGAGCTGCTAGCGTACTAACGATAAACTTGGCTGTAGTAGTTTTTTTGTTAACACAACTTAATTGTTTTATCTTTTATCCCAGACCAAATAGTTTGGTGGTGCATAATCACTAAAGAAATAACCTGCTGATTAGAGAATGTTTTTTTATTGTTAAGCCAAATTAGCATTACGCTAAGGTAAAGATTTTGCATGTTTGCACTGACAAGCTAATTGTTTGTCAATACAAATATTTAAGATTTTGAAATATAAACATGACTACCTTTATTAATCTCTGCAAAGAGCTAGTCTTTAGTATTTCTGTTCCCATTTGAAAAGTGAAGAACTTTCTCAAATCTCCAGTAAAGATAAGCTTCACGAGTTTTAGGGGATAAATGTTCTGGCCTCAGACTGGGTTTATCTTGGCCGCCTTTTCTGACAGAACTAATGAGTGTTTTGGCTTGGCGTGGAGCTCGCATGTGTTTTTTTAAAAGCTCAAATATTTGGGAGTGTAATTAATAAATGCAGAGCAGCTGAAGTAAGTTTTGCAGAACATGGAGGACATTGTGCAGATTGTAACGACGACGATCAAATGAACCTAAAAAGCTGAAAATACTAAAGGCTTATAGTTTCTACAGCCACATTTTGGTGTCTGCAACATARGTTAGGAGGCGTTTACATAAACTCCTCTTCTTTTAAACCGCATTTTGTAAACATTTACAGTTTTGGAAGACAGACTGCCGTAGCGCAGCTTCTGTTTGTTGGCCTCCATTTTTGTTTTAAAATGTAAAAAAAGTCTTTTTATTTATTCATAGTTTCAAGTGCTTAATTTTTCACAGAACTGCTTTAGTTTTTGACATTTTACAAGTATTGAGTGTATTTTAGCTGAATAGTGTATAATATTACAAAACGACCTACTTTATTCTCATATTTGCTGTCGCCTGGGGTTTGTTCATCAGCTCTGTGGTTGGTCCTGATGTTTTTATTTCTTTTAATCTGAAAGTATAATTTTTCTTCTTTTTTAACCTAAACTCTGCATGGAGGGTTTGTTTCTTTTTGGTCTGGGGGTCTGTTTGGAGATGTTGGTCATGTTTGCAGTGTGATGAAAGATGTAAAACACAGCAGTTCTGTGTGGCACACTGTTTCTCTGTCTTATAATTGACAAGATTTTTTTTTCCTTTTAAAAAAAGGCTCAGGGAGTGAGCAGAGGGGGAGGAGAGTGATTGTTTTTCTTTTACTCAGCTCCATTTCTATTTTTTTTAAGTGTCTAGTTTCACCCGACTTGTTTCCGTCAGGTTTTATTCATGACCTCCATCTGGAAATAATATCTGCTCATGAAAACAAGCCATCAGCAATTTCAGGGAAGAGTGTGCGCTCGAGTGTGTGCGCGGAGTTGAAACGACATGTATCAAAGCCTCCATCATCCTCTCCTACAACCCTGGCTGAAATGCTACTTTGTGGTCTGAATTAAAAAAAAAAAAAAAAGAGGCTTTGACTCAAATGCAAAGTTAGTCATCAAACGCTGGAAACTTCAGCTGCTGGGAGAAAATGACGTGTCGGGCAGGTCTTTGGCGAAACGTTTGACCTTGGCTCAGACTAAAAATATGCATTAACCCAGTGAAAGCCTGCATAGTTCAGCAGGAAAGAAGATCTGGCTTGTGTTAGAGCTGCTCACAGGAGCGTACGGAGAGAGGGAGTGGGGGGGTTAGAGCAGATATTCACTCCAGTCTGAAACACCTCTGTTATGGAAAACCTCGCTGACGCTCCAGAGGCTGTTTCTGTCCGGCTGACACAGGAGACGGGCCGGTCACACCTGAGAGCCTCTGAAGAGCAGCCAGGCGTTTAGCCCAGGCCTTGTCCCCGAGCACAGAGGCCTCTTTTTTTAGTTTGCGCCGCCCGCCCCGACCGTCGAGGCGAGCGTTTTGTCTGTCTGCCTGGGGCTGATTAGATCTCTTTCTGTTTTCGAGCCATAATGGCTTTAAAGAAAGAGAGAGCCAGTAGGTGTGTGTGGCTTCAAGTTAACCCCGGTCAAAAGGTTTATGCGAGGCACTAAAGCCCCCTGAGCTGATTCCAAGAAATCACTGCTCGTTTTTTTTCTCTCTCTCTCTCTTTAGGAATATTCCTTATTACTTGATGTGTGCTTTAGTGGAAAAAGTCTGGAGGTATTTTACACATACAACCCCCCCTCCTCTTTTTTTTTGGTTATGAGATCCCCACATGTTCCCTTTGCCCCCGCTGAACACACACCACTACATCACAGCAGCAGACTGGGTCATTTTTCTTTT